CGTTAAAATATAATTGAAGAATTTTGAATGGGTTAGTAAAAAGTTGAAATTGAAATTTATCTTCTCTAATTAGTATATATAGTTAATAATTACAAAATAATTACAATCAAATTTGCATAATGGGTATGTTTACTCAGATATAGTAGTATATATAGAGAGAGAGAGAGAGATAAAGAGAGATAATAATAATAACAATAATAATAATGATAATGGTAAAGGAAAATCTTAGATTCTTTCCAACAAAATGCTAAATAAAATGTGTTTCCAACTGTTTGTACCTTAATCAAAATACAGCAAATGCAAATATACATATGTTTTGTTTGAATCGAAATTTTGTGTTTTGTTTTCGTTAAATTTGATCAAAAAACTATTGAGATATTTCTGTTATCAGATATATTAAGTAAATTGTAGTCTGTTTCTGTGTGTGATTGTGCGTGTCTGTCTGTTAGTGGGTGTATGCGTGTGTGTGTGTTGACTACCACACCAATACAGCGTAACATGTGCATTTGTATTTTTTTTTTGTTTTTTTTTTTTTTTTAAGATGCTGATACTAATTACAAAACAGTTTTGAAAATGTGTCAAGTATTTGGGCCTTGGGTTGAAAATTTCTAAACAAAATTTGAAATTGTTTTTTGGTTGTTGTTGTTGTTGTTTTTGTACTGTACTAAACTATTTGGGCGAGTTTTGGTTTTAGTTTTTGCAATGGAAAAGACAAAAGCATAACGGATACCATAATATACATAAAGAAAATTTTGCATTACGAACAAAAAACAGACAATAAAGGAAAAATATACATTTTTTTATTATCCTGTATGTACATTTTCTTTTTTTTCTTTTTCATTTCGTTTCTTTTGTTGTTTTTTGTACACGTTTCATTATTCAAATTGTTGTTATTCATATTTTCTTTGTTTTTGTTTTTTTTTTTATGTGTAAAAGTAAGTTTGAGCAGTCAAGAAGTGAGGGTTAGTTCGGTGTTCGACGACATTTGAGGGACCAAAAACACAAACACAAACGAGAAAACGAAATAATAAAACCGATTTCAAAACTTTGACCAAAATATTTTACTAATCAGCTGTTGTTGCATATTAAAATTTACAAACAGTGCACATCTACATATACAAACTGCAACGGCGATCACTGCTAAATCACAGTCACGGTCACTGTGACTGTGACCGTGAGGAGTGACAGTGGGAGTGGCCAAAAAGGTTTGTATATATAGATGCGCCTTGGCAACCCGCTGACTGGGGCGACGCATACCGCCTCGACGTGGCCTCTACGTAAATAGTTAAGATTAGAAAGTAAAACAGTTATAGATGTATATATATATATATATAGAAATATGTGTCTCTGTATGTGTGTCTGTGTGTGTGTGTGTGTTTGGTACAATTATCGTTGAATAAATATGTACATATGTATATGCGGATTGGTTTACATAGATGTAGTTTACAACAATGCTCTGTTGCTATCGCTATAGTGAAGCAGTTGGGGTAGATGGTGCGAGTGGATGACATTAAGAGAATAAACTAGGCTTGACATTGATTCGAACCGTTGAACGTACATTAGACGCGTATGTATACAAAAATCATGGCCAAGACTTATTCGATACCTATTGGGCGGGGAGGGAAAAAAAACACTAGAATTCGATTCGATTCGACTTGATTCGATTCGAGTCTTCACTAACATGATGGGATATAAGCATTATTAATGACAAATTTATTATATATATATATAAAGAGAGACATAGAGAGAGAGGGAGAGAGCAATACTATTCGTATATAGTATATTTTGGTATGCCAAAATTACATCTTGGCCAATATCCATACCGAAGGGTAACAGCACTACGATTAATGATAGGGTTTATGATTTGTTGTCTGTTCACTAGAATATGTTCGGCTAATGAGCAGCTAAATACATATACATATGCAACATATACATGTATGTATGTATGTATATATATATATATGTATGTATGTGTGTATTCTCGACTGTTTGAGCTACGGAAGAGAAAAACATCAACGATGCGATGTGAATATAGTTTTGGAATAGTTTTGGATATACTTAGAGTAAAGTAAACGTTTAGCTAATTTGCTAATTGATATAAGTTCTTTCGATTTCAGTTGTTTTTAAATACATTAATATAGTAATTGGGGTGGGGGAAGAAAACAAGAGAATTAACGCAAAAGGCAACTAAATATAGAGAATAGATTTCTTTAGGTTTTGGTTTGTTTACTTACATCCTGTTGGATAGTCAGAGAAACCATATTCAATTTGAAATTTGTGTGGATTCGGATTCGTATTCGGATTCGGTATTTGTGAATCAATTGATCAATCAATTAATATAACCGCATTGTGCCCGGTATTTGGTATTTCAGAACAATATCGAGAACGGCAAATCCAAAATTTGCCCAGATTGTTTTTAGTGTGTTTCGGGTTCGACAGCAGCCAAAGGATGATTCGATTCGATTCGATTCAATTCAATTCGATTCAAGACAGTTTCAACGATAATGAAATGTGTGATTTGCAGTGTTTTTGCAGTGTGGTCAGACGTTGATTCATTTTGTCAGATATTAGAAGGTATATTTTGTTGTTATTCATTTTATTATGTATGTGTTTTTTTTTTTTTTTTTGTATTTAATATATGTTTATTATTTTGTTATTGATTTATATGGAATAGTTTTATTTGCCATAACGAGTACGCATTGATATGGTGTTTTTTTTATTAGTTATAATATATTTTAATCAAATTGCAGTTTTCATATGACGTTGTTGACGGCGTTAAGGACAGTCGATTTAGTTTTTTTTTTTATTATTTTCCAAGAAAAAATAACAAAGAAATTAATAAAGTAGAGTTGAAAATTAGTAATAATAGTTGAATTGAATTTGTTGCAGTTTGCAAATATATATATATATATAGAGAGAGAGAGAGAGAGAGAGAAATCAATGAAAATTGGTATTCGTGTGTTTTGTTGTATATGTTTATGTTTTTTGGTTTGTTTTTGTTCTTGTTTATACATAGATCGTTTCATATTGCGCTGCTGCTCTATCAAGCCTTGTACGTCTCTACCTTTAGCTACGTATGAATAGTTGTTGTACTGGATCTTAACTGAGTGTTAACTGCTAGCTAATGGACAAGGGCAACAAGATGACAACGAATGATGGGACTTACATACCTGAGGCAGTGGTCGAAAAATGTACATACAAATATAGATCTAAATACGGTATTGTTGTATGTAAGTCTCTTAAAGTATCGTGTGAACAAAGCAAAGTTATACAGCAGCTTAAGCCTAACAGCACCCAATAGCATTCAGAGGGAACTTCATTAAGCATGCATCGTAGCAATCTAAGCAAGTTGTCAGGGTTCGTACTTGCATCATAACACTAGACTATGGACTACAGTTTGTAAGGGGCAGTTTATCGGCAAGGCAGCTCGATGGATCAATCGATCGATCGAATGAGACGTTAGCGACGATCGTAGCATATAAGGACAGCAGAGAAAAAAACAAAAACTTTTTCAGGCTTATTGAAGGAGGCATGTCAGTCAGATGTAGAATCTTCAGAAGAGATAGAGAATGTAAGCTAGTAAGATGTTGGAAAGTGGTTGTAGACCCGTAGTCGGTTTAGAGGGGATAGTGGAAAGCTCTACATTCGAGGCACCTAGTTAAAATAGTTAAAAGTAGTTAGAGTAGGCAACAATATACATTCTTGCCATGTGCTGAGAAGCGAGACACTCTAAGTATCCATATGGAGTTTACATCATGCGAACATGTTTGCTATATACAGTTTATAGAGGATATACACAAGTATATATTTGGTATTTAAGAAAGTCTTTGAGTGCACATAGATGTTGGAGCGGAAGTCCTTGAATCCAATAATACTATTACTTACATTCGCCACTCCTGTCAGCTAAATAACTCCACTTACACAGTTACACACAATCGATATCGTATCGATATTTGTTAAATTACACACAATCGATATCGTATAGATATTTGTTAAATGTATCGATATTTTCATTATAGTTTGGTATTGTATTAGCACATGGTATTATACTGTAGTCGGGACTGTTCGAATCGGGTGTCTCTCGTAGTGTGCGCGTGTGTGTGTAAGTGTTTAAGTTTCAAGTTTAGAGTTTTCATTGCAAGTTTTCATGTTCGAGTATATAGAAAGCTTTGTATTTTTCAAGTTAAATAAAAGAATGCAGGCTCGGGTTTTTTGTTAGATCGATCAATCAAATCCATGCGCAAATACTGAGCAAAAAGAAAGTGAAATAGAACAACTGTTGCATAGCTTCAGATAACTAAGGGTAAAGCGCCTGAAAGTCTGCTTCATGTTCTCTCTTTTGTTTGAAATGTTTGTTTAGTCATTTAACAAAGGCAAAATATCATATTAAATACTAGAGTGAAACTTTGTATATACATATAGAAGGAAATATTTGAAAATAATTATTAAAATCGATTTCATTTAATGCTTAAGGCAGGCCATCTGATCTCTTGATCTTGGACTAGGACTGCCAAATATATAAGTAAATAATTGAGTGCGAATTCGAATTGTCTACAAAAAACATTCGGTTTAGTGTGAGGTATATGCAAATCGTCCGTCATAAAGCAATTGTTTAATCAAATCTCTAATCAAATCATAAATATTTGTGAAAATCGAAATAAGAAACTAAAGAAAGTGAGACCCATCCAGTCGCTTTATAGGTTCATCTACCAACTTGACTACAGACTTAGACACGCAATTTAAAAGAGAAGTAGATACAATCGCAATTTGGTGTGCTTTGCAACAGAAAATGGGAAAAATCACAGGTATACTATGTATATGGGCGCAACGGAAGTAAACAAAGAAGTTGATTGAAACAAGGCAAACGAATTGTGTTCGGCGAACCGAAAATCCAAATACCCCTACTATCATATACATGAATATTTATGTATATCGGGTAACATCGATTGACAATCTTTAGAACTGCTCTACACTAAAAACAAAGAAAGTAGTAAGAAAATTAGAAATATACAAAATTAATTTCACTGAACCACTCTTTGACTCTCTTCAGCTAGGAAATTTACAGAGCTCTATCAAAACTATATAGCACCTCTGTGTATTATATGGGGAGTTGGAAGCGTTATGCTTCCGAATTTCATAAATATAAGAAGAGCGTATGGGTGCCAGAGGCAAATATATATCTATAGAGCTCATAAAAGCGTTTACAGCAAATATCTTTTACATGAATATACATATAATAGAAATCTTTATATCTAGAATCTTTATATTAAAAGTATGTATAATAGCAATATTTATATCTAGAGACTTTAAAAGCCTTTATAGCCAATATGCTTCATGTGAACTTATAATAGAGATCTATATATCGAGAGATCTTAAAAGCCTTTACAGCAAATATATTTCACATGAACTTACAATAGAGATCTTAAAAGCTTTTACAGCAAATATATGAGAAAATATATGAGCTATATGAAATGTTAGTTTAATTTGTTATCTATATACAACTTATTTTCTCAACCAGAATCACATATATATAGGTATATAGCTATAAATATATACTATATATATAGTTCAGTTTCATTAGGATTAAGATGAGGAGTTAGTATTAATTGTTAGACTCGCCGCTGTTAAATGATAGTAGATAGAAATAAATGCAACTCTTTAATACAAATGTGTGTGGGTAAATTGTTAAGTGTGTGTGTGTGTGTATGCGTGTGTGTTTGTGTGGAGGAGAAAATGAATGGAGAATGTTATGGAAAAGTATAAAATCTAATAAGCTTAGTTTAGGTAGGTAAGTGAAAAGTGCTTAGCAGTAAAAGCGAAAGCTAAATCATTTGACTTTTTGTACACATAGTAGGATTTGGAAAAATGCAATTTCTGTGTAGATTGTGTTTCGTACTTACATCGTGCTGTTGGTGTTGAAATTTGTTGTACATGTCGATGTAGTTGTTGATGAGTTGTACATATATGTACATGTATGTATGCATATATTGCGATATATATATACACACATACATATATATATATATATGTGGATATATATGTATGTATGCATATGTGTGTGCCATTTGGTGTGTGCGTGTGTGTATGTGTGCGCGTTTGGGTGTGTCAACACATACACACATATTCACACACACACACACAGATGCATGCATGCATGCATATTAATAATTGTTGAATGACAACATGTTTGTAATACAATTCAATTTGTTGATTGGGTTCGTTTCATATTTCATATCGTGGTATTAATTTTGTTCGGTGAATTTGTTTTTGTTTATCATTTTTTTTTTTTTTTTGGTTTTTTGTTTTTGTTTAATACAAGTTGTGATTGGTGATGAACGAGTTAGTTGCATATTCATTGCATTTGGTAATTGGTAATTGGTAATTGGTATTTGATATTTGGCATTGGTGTTGTAATTACATAGTACATGTGTGGGTGTTGTTTTTGTGTTTTTTTTTTATTGTTTTTGTTGTTGTTTATAATTGATTGTTATTATTGATATAGATATATATGTATATATCGTGTTGGGCAGTGATAAACGTGATGTTTTTTGTTCCCGATGGCCAATTGATATGTGGGAATATTTATTGATTGGATAGGCATTTGTATAATATAATTGATGTTCGCATACATATATACATATTCATATACATAAATCGATGTATAGACACACACACACACGCATGTGTATGTGTGCATGTACATAATGTATGCACATGTACATAGGTATGCAAGTAATGCGTATAGATTTGCATGTGTTACATAATTCATACATTAATAGATATATATATGTGAGGGGTGTACATATTTTTGTTTGATTGCGTGAGTGTTTTATTTTATTATATATTTTTGCATTCATCATTTTGTTTTTTTGTTTTTTTGGTTTGATTCGGATTTGGTTTTCCCGATTTTGAGACCACATTTCGTATTTGGTAATCGTTTTCGTACACAAATAAATATGAAAAAGGAAATCAAAAAGAAATATGATTATTAATTTCTGTATTTCGTGGGATTTTATAAAAAAAAAATTAAAATTTTTTTTTTTTTTTTTTTTTTTTTTTTTTTTTTTTTTTGTTTCTGTGTTAAATCAAATGTAAACTTGTTATTAACAATTTCTTGTGTGCCTGTGCTTACATATAGTACATATATATATATATATAAACAGCAGTGTCAGATGTTGTCTATAACACACACTCCGTTAGGATTGCAAGTGACCCTGAGGTAGGTGGGCAGTAGATAAGATAGGTATATCTATAATATAAATACTTAAAAGTCCTATCCCAGAATATATAGCATGAGAGATAATGATTATGAATTGATGATAATCACCCAAGAAATTTACCCCAACAAAGGTAATTCCCCACTCTCTTAAATAGGTCGAAATTCGTGATATTCTTCACAGGTGCTTCAAAGTTTCATATACATATATACTCTGAATCGAAATCACCTCAATTCATTAACAATTAACTTAGGATTCATTATTGCATATGTCATATACTCTCATTCACATGGATCGTCCGTTCGTTGAGGATCATAGGTCGGTTGACATATTGCTAGTCCGTCAATTGCATAGGATTGTGACTTAAATACATATGCACGCCTGTTCACATTGACATGTGTACGTGTGTATATAGATATATACATCTTGTGTGGGTGTATATGTTTGCATATTTGTGATTTTTGGTATTCATATGAATTGTGTTCGGGTTCGAGTATCTTGGTAAAGGAACCAAACAAAAAAGAACACAAAATGAAATATATATATATACTTTTGTTGTTTAACTTATGAATTACATTGTTTGTTTGTCTTGCAAAACGGCCTACATAAATCGAACACAACAATAATATGTATGGCTCATAGTTTAAGCTCGTGCTGAACAGCATATAATTACCCCGAATTCCATCCAGAGAGCATCCACAATGCTGCCCAATACCGTAATTAGATCAAAAATGTTCCACGGATCCTTGAAAAAGTTCTACAAAACAAATATTTCGAAATATTATTTAGCGTACTTAAAAGCCTAAATATATACGTAAGCAAAGCTCTCCCCATTTACGTAGAGATAGATAGTTGAAGGAGACGATCAAAGATCACAGATTAGGGATCAAAGATCCGAGATCAAAGATTAAAGACCAGGAATCAGAGATCAGAGATAGATAGATTAGAATTTGATTGAGTTTGGATATAAGTAGAGGTAGATATATGCTAATATAGTGGATCGAGGTGTCGAGTAACTTCTAGTCGGATACATCCAAAATGTCAAATTATTCGCTTAGAAAGTGAAATGAAGTTGTACTTAATATTGGAAAGTCTTAATATTATTTAAAAATACGTATAACTGCAAAATGAGGGTCACAGATTAAACATAAATGAAATGAGCATAAAGGTTTCATACATTTTCACATAGGTTTACTCGAATCTATCCTCCCTCTTGTAGACACCCCACCCGTTAAGACTTAATGTTTAGCAATAATGCAGAGTTTCAATAATATTGAGCTCCAATAATTATGCAACTTACCTTGAAACCGAATCCAATTATTTTTAGAACAGTTTCAACACTGAACATGCCTGTGAATCCCATGTTGATGTATTTTAGTGACTTTTCGTACATCTCGCTTTGATTATGATACTGTTGAGATGATGTTTGCATATGATTAGTCTAGAATTCTTCTTGACAGTAAAAATATAAAGTATGTCTAAAACTTCTTCGTCAAAAACTTGAATTCTTTGTTTCTTCTCGGAATTTAATATATGTTCATAGACGAGTTGTGTGTCTTTGTAGAAAGCTCTGAACATCTCCTGATAATTACAATTTATGTTTTGAATACATTCTTAGAGAAACTCTTAACTAAAATAGATTATACAGCCTTTTTATTTAGTCTATCAAATGCAAGAAATTAATAATATATATCCAATATATCTGTACATATATAGTGGAGGTTCAGATTTAGAGCTTTGCACAATTGTATTGGAATTTGAATACTCTAAGTTGAAATCTTCTATTTATCTCAACTACTATTTATGACTGACTCATTTTTATGGCTATGAATACGTTTCTCTGACTCATCAGAAGATTCTCTTATATACCATACCGTATTAGTATTCATATTGGTGCTTCATGAATCAGAAACTTACCTTCATCATTAACAACAGCGTATTGAACACAATCAGCATCATTATAAAGTATTCGAATGGTGTAGAGACAACAATGCGCCACACTTTATACTTGAAAGTATTTCGATTTTTGGGCATATATCGCTCAAGTGGCCGGGCTCCGATCGTAAAATCAATACACGATTTCTGTGGGAAAAGAGACAATTAAATAATACCACATGCGAAGCCAGCTACAAATTGTGTAGAGCTAAACATTTTATAATTGGCTATAAATTAGGTCCAGCACCCAATGCAAATGGAGAACTGAGAACGAGCTGACAGCTATAGAAGGCTATATCTTCAATAGCTGTGCATCAAGTATCAACTAAGCTTCTTAATGTTGGCGTCATCCAATCGAGTCTACGAGCGTATTTAATCGTCTGTCAAAACATGTGTTACATGGCTGAAGGTCTCATAATATAACCAATCGATTGATTGATTAAAAAGTGATAAAAGATAACAATTTCTAAATTTATTAATAGAACAACGTCTAAGCAGAATTGATCGATAATTATTTTCATATACACATTTCTGTTTAACACGGAGTATCTTAGATTGTTTCGAAATTCATTGGAGCTTAAAAAATAAATAAGATATTTTAGCTATTAGACTATTTAATATATATTATTTCCAGACAACTACAATTTGATAAACAGCATTGTAGAATTGTTCAAGTACAAGGTATACGAAATAAATACAGGAATATTTGGTAATGCCTAATTATGCTGTTAGTTAATAACTCATTCTCTTTACTCAGTTGACTCGATGAAGTATTGAAATCTAATATTATGGTTTATTAAGAAGTGCCCGACTAACCGAGGAGCCTAGCACCAGGTTTCTATACTGAGACAGACGTATATAGTAGCTAAATCGACGCAATAAATGAACAAAATTAAGAAGTCTCTATACAATATTATATAGGATCCATACTAAGAATTTACACATGTATATAGTTCAGATCAGCTACTACCGTCATTTGCAATGGGTGCAGGCTATGGTATATAAACATGAATGTACAAAGTCTGCTCGCTAATGAGTTTTACACAATATTGATCGGCCCAATTGAAATGTTTATTTGTAAGCTATTAGGTGAGATGCATGCCAATCAAAACAAGATCAACAGAATGGAAAAATTTTTTGCATTTTTTGTGCAAGAGTTGAATCGATTCCAGATGTGAGACTTGGTGCCTTACTAGCTATGATATATGTACATATACATAGGTATGTCGATACAGTTACATTGGAAATAATAATATATACATATGTTTTTTATTTATAATTGATAGCTAATAAATAATAGAAATGCATATCGATTGGTTATGTCGGATATCGCCTTTATAAGAGATATTGCTGGCTTGATAGATGGCATACTTACAGTGTCGAGCGTGTTGTTATTCAGCAACGAATTGATATAGCTTATGGCTTTACGATATTAATCGTTAAATATTCATGACTGAATATTTAAGGACTATCGTGAGTATTATCAAAAATCTCTACTTTCCGGTAAATGTTCACTCTCTATATATATTCAATGGGTCTCTAATGATGTCTTATATACAGATTCCGATCGATATATTAACCCTAGCTAAATGTGCCCTAAGGCCTATGCCATGATAGCTAGCTAGATGTATTTACATCTGGAGTTTAAAACTAGTTTTGTAAAAAGTTTCCAAAACAAAAGAAAACTAAACTATTCTACGCTTAATTCCAATGGGATTTGCATGCGAGAATTGTTTTTTGTGGTTTCATATCAAATTATTATTATACTAGATGTCGTATCACATCATATTCGAGAGATAATGTCAAATGTTTTCGGCCATAAAAAATAATTCTCGCATGCTAAACGCAATATCTAATATGTATCCGCAAGGCAGGGCAGGGTCCGGGGCAGGGACAGAAGCAAGAGGTCAGAGGTCAGAGAGATATAGTAGAAGCAGATTGGAACGATTTGTGGGTGTGGGCGGGCAGAGCCCGAGCAGAGCGATCAACGTTTGCCGATCTGTGTGTCTTTGGTTGTAGTTAGTATTCGAGTTGGGCTAGCATACATATACATACATCAATGGGTTACTATCTAATAGAGGTAGCATGTACATGTATGGGTATCGTTGTATGTATGTGTGTACATTTACGTGCAGATACATAGATAATTGTTTAACGACTATCAATTTTACGAGTAAAACACACACACATATAAAAGCATTGTTTGAATTTCGATTTTGTTGTATTTTGTTGTTTTTTGTAGTTTTTAAATTTTGTTTAATTTTTGGTAAAAATTTTGATTGTCTCGCTCACCTGATTTTTGTCAATTTCACCATCTTGCAATTCAGCTTCGCCTTGCTCTTGAAATGTTATGATAATCAAGGCGACGAATATGTTGACGAAGAAGAATGGAAATACAATAAAATATACTATATAAAAGATGGACATTTCGATCCGGAAATTTTGGATTGGACCCCTATCTTCATAAGTGGCAGCCATTGAGTGTTGCAAGACCCTATTAGCAACATTCGAGTGTGTGTGTGTGTGTGAAGATAGCACAAAACAAACAAAAAAAGTAAAAAGTAACAATTCATTATTCACCATCCGCACTCGCTTAACAGAACAGCAATAATTAATCATTAATCATTATCATTATTATCAGTATGAGTATTAGTATCAGTATCAGTGTCAAGGAAAAGCAGAAATCAAAACACACAAATCTTAGAGCAAACAGAGCTTACTGTGGCCATCCCTCGCCGGTCTGTACGGCGAACAGCGTCAGCATCGCAGCGGCGACATTGTCGTAGTGGAAGCTGCGTGGCTTCCACACGCGCATCTCCTGTTTGGGCAGCAGTTCGTCTTCCTCGTATTTGAAATACGAACCCCTTTTGTGTTGGTTGGGTTGAGTTGTCAATGGATTGCATATAACATTATATGTTGATGTTTGGTTTATGGTGTGTTCGAATTTAGTTATTATTTGTTTTTTTTTTTTTTTCGTTCGATTATATAAATATAATTGGAATCGGAATAAGAAATCAGCTTAAAATAAAACTAAAAATAAAATAAACACACACACTACATATATAAAATGATAAAGTCAAATTCAATTGAAGTACATTCATTTGATATGTGAGAAGATATTTGCTAAGAGTTTGGATATATGTGAGTGTGAGAGACACAGAGTGTGTATGTGTGAGAGAGTGTGAATATATACATAGATCTAGTAAATAGATATAGCACAAATATGTTTCTATTGCGATAATGAGCTTGACGTCTTTAGGTAAATATTGCACAACAAAAATATAAACAGATTCTTATGCATGTATGTATGTATGTAGGCATGGTATGTACGTATGCATGTATGCATGTATGCATGTAGCTGATGGATGATGCGTGTGCTCAGCAATTGTAGTATTTGTGACAGTATTTAAATTTGTCTAGCTGTAGCCCAGAACAATCCAAATCAACACTGCACAATCTCAGAAGGCGTACAAAGAAAAGAAATGTTCGAAAACCTAATGCATATCTTTCAGATACAGATACAGATACAGATACAGCTATATCGGATATAGGTTCTATATCCAAGTGTGTGTTGGTGTTTCGCTTGGCTCGACGTGGTTTGAGTGTTGTTTCTGGCTGCTTGTTTGCTCGGCGATGTGTAACAAGAAAGCTGCGCTTGCGATGTCTGAAAGCGATTTTGCATAGCGATCAACGCGATCTAACGGTGCGAGAGAGAGCTCTACATATGGAAATACAAGTATGCATAGGAATGAGTAGGATGTGCGTGTATCAATTTGATTGTGGATTCTTGTATCAATTTGAATGTCAGTCAGTTGACAGCATCAAATAATAATTGAAATAGTTTCTTTTCCTCGCACTTCGATCTCAACGTGGGCTTTCTTTTCTCGATTTATTGCCAATGTATATTAGAGTATATATATTTATATAGAAAATGTGGGAGCTGTTTTGGAATCTGATTATCAGTTGTAAATGCGACTAGTCTATACATATCTAGTAGTTAGTTAGAAAGAAATGTTAGATAGAAAAGATTTATATATATAGATATATATTTAGTACGTATGAGAAAGTATAAATAGACGTTAGTAGAATTGAAAAAAGTTGAGAGAAATGGCAAAATAAAACTAGTCTCCGATATGATCAATCAGGGCTGGGCTAGGTTGGTTGGTGGGTTAAGTTGGTTGGTGGTTCACATGATATACGAGTACTACAAGAGATTGAAGTTTGGAACACGACGAGATCTACATTAAAATTGAAACGATCTGTGATACTATTTGGTACGTGTACGCGTATACAGACTTATTAAGAAATCTTCTGGTAGTAATATGGACTCTTTGGTATTTGGTAAAATACCCAATTGTAAAGAAATAATATTGATATAGTTATAGATAGATAGTAGATATTTACATGCTAAACGCGATCGGCAGTAAATTCTTGAATTGAATTGTATTGATTTGTCTGATTTTTTTGGACTTTGGATTTTGGTGTTAGTTAGAAGGCAACAGATACAGAAAAATACATTGATCGAGTTAACGGATTAACTAGAAAATCAAATAGAATAAAACTAGAAAGGTCTTTCATTCAGGTGGCATTTGTAGTTTCGCATTTCAGTTCTGATCAAAGGATTTACATATTTTTTGTTTTGTTTTCTTTTTTTTTTTCTTTTCTTTTCTTTTCTTTTTTGTTGAATTTTCTTTTATTTGTTTCCTTTTGATGTTTCTCTTTGGCTCGTTCTTTGCTTCGTTATTAAATTCACATATTTATGTTTATCGTTGGGTTTTTTCTTTTTTTTTTTTTTTTTAATTTTTTTTTTTTTTTTTTTTCGTTTTTGGCCCTTTTACTCGCTTGATTGTGGTGGAAGCACAATTCAGGCAAGAAAACTGGGCGAGAAACTTTAAAATGCTACTCTTACATTCTGTAAAATCAGTGCACCTTTTTTGTCATCTTAGAGAACTTAGAGAACAGAAGAACGCAGAAGAAAACGAAATGAGAACGCAAAAGAACACGAAAATCAAATCGATAGAAACTTAAGGAATGTACAATCGGAAAAGTTGTAGTTAGGAGAGACCGAAAACAAATACATTTAGTACAACATAAAGTAAATAGAGTCATTTTAGTCATTCTTGCTTCACTATATATACATATATGCGTGTGTATATTTATATATAGTATTCATTTGCAAGCGATCAAAATCCTGTTCCCTGTCTGGGGCACTGCGGCTCACTCTCCCCTTTGATCTGAAATCATTTATCACAACTCAACTGAACAGAACTGAACTTGACATCTCCTGGAGCGGGATGAGTATGTATGTGGCAGAATCGCTCTTTGATCAAACTTGGTTCATGTTGTAGAGTAGTTATATATGTGATATAAGGGTATTTGAATGTGTACATACATAGAGACAACAAGGTAGACAACTAGCTAGCGTAGTGCTAACACCTCATAAGTGAGGCACACATAGACAAGCACACACACACACACAGAGAGAGAGAGAGAGAGATAGCGATAGGTTCATCAATTAGTTAGACATCTATGTATGTTCAGTCTGTTAGAGTTACCTAAAAAGCTAATGTACATATACATAGGTAGAACAGATGTAAGTTAGACACATATCAGATTGTAGCTTGTGTTGTGATTTGAGACAGCTAGGCATGTACACAGTTAACTATTGTTATGTATGTAGTAGGTATTTAAAGCTCTGTAGACACAATTGTAACAAGCTAAGGATTGGAGCACACAGACAATAACTGATGTATTTATATGTATATATATGTATATTAAAGAGTCTAATCAATCGAACATGTACATGTACATATATATGCTAATGTGAATGTATACATACATCTATATATATTCATATCAATATCAATAGGTATACATTCAAATGCATGTATTTATCGAGAGATTGAAAAACGTATGGATAAATACAAAAGAGGGAGAGACAGAGAAGGAGAGACACAGAGAGAGAGAGAGAGCAAGAGTGTGGAGAAAAACTATATATACACATATGTATATGCATATACACATACACACACACATATATATATATATATATATATATATATAGTTATGATAACACCGAAATGTATGTGTAGCGCGTCTAATAGATATAATCATCATAATAATAAGTAAGATCTATGAAATGATCATAGAAACTATACAAACTATAAGGTGAACAACAATTTGTATGGCTTACGAAACACAGAATCAACTGAAAGCAGATACAACAAGAAACGATAACGAAAATGAAAATGATAATCAAAAGTAAAATCAAAAACAATTGTCAATGTTTTTGAGAATACGGAAAGAAAATGTTTACTTACTGGCACTCTTCGGAAGTATGTTTACTCTCATCCGTACAATAAAAAAACTTTCCATTGAACAATTGTACACCAATAACAGAAAATATAAATTGAAACAATATGTACACGATTAGAATGTTAACAACATTTTTTAATGAGTTCACGACGCAATCGAAGACGGCTTTCAATTTGGGAACACGTTTAATTGTCTTCAATGGACGCAGGACGCGCAGCACCCGAAGCGATTTGATAGTGGACAAATTTTGTCCAGCGCTGCTACCGCTCATATCGAAACCGAAACTAACAGCAGCGCATATAACGACCACAGCATCCATAATATTCCAGAATTCTCTTAAATAGCTGCCAGGATGTAGGATGACACCCAAGTCTACAATTTTCAGCAACATTTCTATCGTGAATACGCCGGTAAATGCATAGTCAAAGTAATTTAAGATCTTATTTCGCCTCGAGTTCTCACGAACGGGATCTTCGGCTGCTAATGCTATTGATGACATTGATATGACGACCATTATGAAGAAATCAAAATATGGTAAATTAACCACCCAATGGGCGCCACGTCGTATGCTGTATATGCATATTGATATAGATATAGGTCATTTGATTGATTGTTGTACCAATAGAGGTGGTTGGGTTGGTTTTGTTTTCATTTTTAATTTCATTTGATTTTTGGTTTTTTTTTTTTTTTTTTTGTTTCGATCGATTTTGTTTTTCCAATAGATAGCCATGGAGAGTTCAGATTAAGTTGTTTTTTTTTTATCGTTTACAATTGCAAGATTCGATTAATTCGTTTATTACATTTGTTATTAAATTTTATAGAGATAGTTTTTTTTTTTCGATTGCGTTTTGCGTTTTGTTTAGTCAACCGTTTTATTTAATTCGATTTTGTTTTTGGTTTTCCAATTATTATTTAATCGGTTTTTATTTGAAGTAATTAGCAATTTTGTTTTGTCGTTGTTGTAGTTGTTGTTGTAGTAGTTGTTGTTGTAGTTGTTGTGTTGTAAAAGTTAAAGTTGAATAGAATGATGATGATGTGGTTCATAAGATGAATTGCAGTTGCTCGAGATGGATGGTGATTGATATTGCAGGCAAGGAGGATACAAATGAAGTATTCGTCGATATTTGTAGTGCAAATATTTACAAATATATATATTATCATGTAGATATATATGTATATATAAATTTGATTAATTTAGTTCAGTTCAATTGATTTAATTCGATTTGATTCGATTCGATTCGATTCGATTTGATTCGATTTGATTTGGATTGTTTCATTGTAGTGTGCAACAGAAAATTGTAACGAATCCAAAAGAAAAAGTGAAAAGAAAAAGAAGTGAAACAAGTTAGTACATTTGGCATTACCATTGGCTAAAAAGAAGTTTATCGATTATTAGGTCAATTACAGTGGATCATAAAAGTGTGCTAAGAGTTAACCTTCATTTACGAACCTATGCGAAGCTTACGCATACTGAAATCAAAAATAATATTTATTCATAACCCTGCCTAGGCAGCTAAGGCCGAGCCTAGCAGCTCATCGAGTGCAAATGTTCAAGATTCTTGTTGATTTTAAATAAATGTAAATATATCTTAATATCTTTAGATACGCTGTCGGACATAGACGCGGACCGACTCACTGCAAACATTATCTAGGCATTGTTCAGATATTACATTTAGAATTTTCGTTTCTTCATATAATTTACTTTTGAAATATTTTGTTTTTCAAAATGAATCAAAGATAAATTGACCGGACAAAGCCGGGCAGAACCTGACAGCCTGTAATCAAATATATTTCAGCCTTAGATATAGATGAGAAATATATTTACGGATTTGTTGGTGATAGTATGAACATCGAAGAGTATGGCAACATTGGCTTTGGCCCTTCCGTTACTTCCTCCTCCTCCTTCTTCTCTTCCTCCTTCTTTTTGCCCTTGCCCTTGCTGGTGGCCACGGTACCATCGCCGTTCTCCAGGTGGACACCGTCGCCCTGGAGGGCTTCCATTTCCTTTTCTAGTTCTTGGAGCTGTTTCTCTTTATCTTCTTCGACTTGTTCCTCTTCGGCTGCTGTCAGTTCTTGAGCGTTCGCCAAATTATCGACGGCGATAGCCAAGAACACATTTAAAAGCGTATAATTACCGAAGAGTACCAAAACGATAAAGTATCTGTTGGAAAAGAGACACAGTGCGATTAGTGCGATCCAGTGCGAACCGATGTGGAGCTAATAGTATGCTTGATAATGCTCGATGTAAAGCCCAAAGTCTACTCTGTATCCTGCATCCGGTCAAGTGTAGAAGGTCAGTTTCAATTTCGTATGTTTCTATGTTTCAAGTGATCAAATGATCTGGCGATCAGGTGATCAATTGACAGAGCAATAGCTAAATATACCAATAGGAGCTGTTCAATCTAATATATGTGAGCATAGTGTATCGGATAGTAGCAGCAGCTAGAGTGTTGAGTAGTTTAAATACTTGAAATGTTGTGCCAAGGGGCCAACAATGAGTCCAAAGCATGGTATGGCTGGAAGAGAAATGAATTATGGAAATAGATAAGCAAGCGTGAGCTCAACTAAGCTGGCATAGCTAAATGTAATACACTTACGTTATTCGATAGCGAGCGAGTGCGCAGAGGGAGGCTGCATCAACTAGGGGGGCAAACGATGGATGGACTTGGCTTGCAGAATTTCAGGATCGCATTTAACTAAATTCTCCAAGCTCTAAAGTCCAATCTTTTTACACACACATATATATATATGGGTCAATATATATATTGTGAGACCAAAACTCCAACGTTCCGGATCTTTATGGTAGATTGCACACATTAATGGTTCGACGTTCAATGAATAACAACTAATTGCCCCCAATTAGCTCCCTATATATCTTCCCAACCAACGAAAAGTACTTTTTTTTACTTCTAGGTTACAGCAACCTACTTTAAAATCAACTAGTTTTTCCAATTTTTAGTGCAAATAAATAAATATATATATAGCCCAGTTCTCTAGCAGCTTTTCTTGAGTTAGTGATAAAGCTAACGATGTTGTATACTCGGTTCACAAAGTAAAACAAATAAATCCAGATAAGAAACTCGATTTTGCTGATGATAATCATATAATGGAAAATTAATAACACAAATTTGATTGATTAATGAAATGGATTTCTCTTTAAATGATAAGAAATGCTGCTCATTATTCTCCAGCCGACCATCGACACGCTCTTCTCTCCCATTTTGCCTAGAATTCTCAAATGGTTACAGCTCAACAAGAGTTGCAAGACGAAGTCTCCTGACTATAGAACCGAAAGGTCCTGGAAATAGTTATTTGTGTATATAATTCGTAAACCCAAGAACACATACAACAAAATGAGCCCAAGGATTATACCCAATTATAGCCAATTTCATATAATATAATACAATAACTACTCATACATAAGACAAATAAAGTGCTGTGAACCGAATATAGCAAAGTCGGTGAGAGCCGACTGTAGCTAGCTTTGTTTGATTCTACAATACGATGTTAGATAGCAATACTTTAATCACATATGAATATATATGTATAATGTCAATGTCAATGAGTATTTCAATTATCGACA